TGGCTTTGCTCAAGTTTTGTTGGAAAAATTGTAGTATATAACAAATCTAAACTAGACAAATACAGAGACTATGAGGCATGAAAGCACTTTCCTTAAGGTGTTATTTGCCTCTGTGTTAGACAAATTACCTCTAGGATACAACAAAATCTAAGAACTATCAAATGAAAGGAAAAAGTGATTTAATTCTGTCAAAATCCTACTATTTAAAAGAATTAAAGCACCTATCCAAGGCACCATGAGAGGATGCAATCCTTATTGAATAGGTGTATGGGTAGTTAACGTCATTAACTACCTCTAATTAATTAGCACCCTATCCGAATCAGAAAGCCCTCGTTAAGTGTGTGGGTAGTTAAGTGCCCTTGTCAAGATTTTATATATCTTTCAATTCATATTCAAGTGTATGAGATATAAACTGAAACAACTTTCCCACCAAACTTTCCCTCCAAACTAATATTTTGGAACAAGTTTGTAAAAGAAACAAGACAATGATGCATATATAGACAATGAGCACTCTATCCTCTTTCAATATGGGACAATGAACTTCAACATTCTCATTACAAACTATTACCAACAATCCCCCACTTAGTTTGTAATGAAATTAAATCAGCACTCATATTATCTTGCATAGCGAAAGGTGTTTGTGAACTTAAACCCTTCTGTTAGTGTAAATATTTCACTTGTTATAACAAGTTATGGTGGCTACGTTGCTTAAACCATAACTTTAAAGTTAAAACAGAAATAGCTCACACAAGATTATATCGTTTTTTGGAGAATAGTTCACGAAATGATTTTAGCACTTTTACCGGCCGTGTGCTCCATCCTAGGTTCATGATCATTAACAAAAGAAAACCCCCACTTTTGCTAGGAGCGGCACCACTCCCATGATCATATAGATGAAGTACATTTCAAGCCTTTATTACCAAGGCACTATGAAACGAAATTTAACTTCATTAAGAGTATTATACTCAGCCTCTTAAGTATCAAACTGCACTAGGACCTTGGAATGGTATAATACAATTTCTAGTGCTCACAACCACTTATTAGTAACTTGTTATTACCCTTTAAACCTTTCATCTAGTGTTAGTGCTAAAAGAGAGGTTGGGTTACCATTACTAGTGGTTATAGACAACGGGTTTTAACCCCATTCCCAATGACGTTGCTTTCACTACATCTCTTGAGAGAGCTTTAGTGAATGGATCTGCCAAGTTGTTGAATGATCTAACATACACTACTGTGACTATGCCATCATTCAATAATTGTCTGACATATTCATGTCTTAGGCTTATATGTTTAGATTTGCCATTATATATTCGACGGTTGTATTTCCTTCTGAGATAGCAATGTATATAAGTTTTGTTTTAAGTTTTGGATCCTTATTTTGCTCTTTCTTGTGGTTCTATTTCTGATTGGTTTGAGTGAACGATTGAGTCCCGGCGAGAGTTGGGCAGGCGGTCCGCCGAACCCTTTGGTTCGCCTTAGGGGGAGGTGGGGCTGTTTTCGCTGTCACAATGCAAAGAAATAGCTGGCATCGGTTTTGGCCACAACTCGATGTTTAAAATCCATCCAGAAGTAGATACTTTGTCACATACACTGGTTACCCAACTTGCATCAGAATAACCTTCAAGTACAGCCGGAAATTTGTTATAGGAAAGCTCTAAATCTTTTGTCCTTTTAAGATATCCAAGCACTCTACCTTGTCAAGATTTTATATATCTTTCAATTCATATTCAAGTGTATGAGATATAAACTGAAATAACTTTCCCACCAAACTAATATTTTGAAACAAGTTTGTAAAGGAAACAAGACAATGATGCATATATAGACAATGAGCACTCTATCCTCTTTCAATATGGGACAATGAACTTCAACATTTTCATTACAAACTATTACCAACAAGTTTAAGACATGGTGAAGCTGCAACTACTTGGAGGTCCATGTCAGCGGTGATAATTGGTGATGAAATTTCGATTATGTATATAAGCTCAAAAGATAGCAATCAATTGGTAGACAAATTAAGGTATTTACTTGGGAAAAAAGTCCAAGCTGTGGATAGTTGAAGTCTGAACAAAGATTTTCAATGAGACAATGAACGAAGATCAAAAACTAATAAAACGGAAGACTCTAATTCGGCAAGTAGTTTGAATTCCAAATAAGTGTACATAAGATTTACACTAAAATTATCACTTTGGATAAAGTGTGCCGCTGGTTACTATACTTTGTCAAAATCTAGATGTCATCACTATACCATTTTTCGTATCAATTTTCCCCTAAAAAAACTCCTGAAAGTCTATTGGCTATGGATGGTTTATTTTCACACACAATACATACTCAGCAGCTCACTTTCCAATACACAGCTGCCACAACAACCTTTTTATTTTTTTCCTCCTTTTTATTCATCATATTATCTTCTGCTGATGCCTGATAGTACTATACTGTAGGAAAAGGAGGCACTGCAGTCTGCATTTAACAGGAGGCAAGAATAATGCAACATCACTAAGATTCTACATATCTGCTGCATCTATTAATTTAACAGAAAAGGAAAAGGAAAAAAGAAAGATTCATATGGCCATGTTTACTCACAAAGATCTTACTCATATGATGTACCAGTTGATAACAACTTGGTAATAAAAAACATTGTCGGCCTAAATTGAGGATCAACATGTAGACAAGCTCTTACTAGTTTGAGAACGGATTTCAGACTCCTTTCAATTTCTTGACTGGGGTACAGAAGTCTTTGGTCGAGCAAGTCTTTCAGTTCTATGTTTTCAGGCTTTGAAGACATTAGATAAGCAATCAAGTCACCAGGATGCTTTCCTTTGATTACTTCCATTGTCAGGACCCCAAAGCTATAAACATCACACTTTTCAGTTACTTTCATTGTGTAGGCAAATTCTGCAAGGTACAAATGGAAAATCATGTTGTGACAACATGTGATCATACCTGAATTTAATAGCAAAAAAAATTGATGCAAGAAAGAAACATTTGTTACCTGGTGCAACATATCCATATGTGCCAGCAAGAGAACCCCAATTAGATGAATCTATTTTCAGAAACTTAGAAGTACCAAAATCAGAAATGTGAGCCTCATATTCTGGATCAAGCAAAATGTTGTTGCTTGATAAGTCTCGATGTACAATTGCTGGTGAACAATCATGATGCATGTAAGATAAAGCATGAGCTATGCCTTTGATGATTTTCAACCTCTTCTGCCAGTCTAACTCCATAGCTTCATCTTCCATGCTCAAAATTTTTGCCAAGCTTCCTCTTTCAAGGTACTCATAAACCAAAAATGAGTGCCGAGAATTTGAGCAGAAGCCAAAGAGTTTCACAATGTTTCGATGCTTGATTTCTGTCAAGGCCTTTATCTCATTCAAGAAACTTCTATGCATCGCCATCTCAGGCATGTGGTGAAGCTTCTTTACGGCTATCACATCGCCTGATGGAAGCTCTGCTCTATAAACACTTCCATAACCACCTTTCCCAATGCAAAATATGTCATTGAACTCTTCTGTAGCCATTACTATTTCTTTATACAATGCTTTGCCGTCATAAGAACATACAGAAAAAAAATTGCCCTTGTTCATATCCATATCTTCTGTTCCTGAACTTTTTCTCCATTGATCATGCAATCTGAGTCCACCATAGAATGCACAAAGAAGTAGGAAGGATCCCAGAAGAGGACATAAAATTGTGACAAGAAGTTTCTTCAGCTTATCCTTGACATGCTTTTTAATCAACGGGGAACTTCCACAAGCTGGTAACCCTGTAATATTGCCGCATAGACCTTTATTTCCCTGTACTTCCTCTATGGTTAAATTCATAAAGGCTCTACCACTCGGAATTGGACCCTCTAAATTATTGAATGAAATATTAATGTGCAATAAACCAGGCAATTTTACTAAAGCCTTTGGGATTACACCAGAGAGGTTATTGTGGGAGAGATCCAATGTTCCCAGATTTTGCAAACTTTGGAACTCAGATGGTATCTCTCCTGTGAAGAAATTTCGACTCAAATCGAGTTCAGAAAGTTGGGTCAACTTCCCAATTTGGAATGGAATCTTTTGGGTGAAAATGTTGTTGCTCAAGTTCATGTGAAACAAGTACCTGAAATCTCCCAAATGTTCTGGAATAGATCCATTCAAGGAGTTTGTGGACAGGTCTAGATAAAGAAGTTTTGTTAGCATTCCCAACTCCTGAGGTATGCTGCCAGTGAGTCGGTTGTCATTCAAATATAGATTAAGCATAGAAGCCAACTTCCCAACTCCTCTTGGTATCTTCCCAGATAAATAATTTGAAGAAAGATCAAGTGCTTGTAATTGAGTTAAAGTTCCAATTTCTGGAGGTATACCACCTGTGATGTTGTTCTTTCCAACCTTCAGGGTTGTCAAGCTTTTGCATTTTCCCCAGCTGCTGGAGAGTTCCCCATGGAATTCGTTGTTGCTGAGATCTATGAAATACGGGAAGGGATAGATGCCAAACATTTCTGACAAGTTACCATGGAAATGGTTCCCATTGAAGCGGGCCCTAATTAAGCTTGAGCAATATTTCAAGCTTCTAGGGATTGGACCTGTAAGCTTGTTCTCAGATACAGTTATGTTTTGGAGGGTTCCATTTCGGCATAGCAGTTCAGGCAATGGACCAGATAACTGATTTTGATCCAAATCCAAAACTACCAACTTTTTCAGGTTTCCAAGCTCTTCTGGAATTGTACCAGAAAATTGGTTCTCTCGAAGATGCAATTCATTTAAGTTACTCAAATTACCAATTGAAACAGGAATAGAACCATTAAGTTGGTTCTGACCTATTTCCATTTCGGTAAGGAATTTGAGACCACCCAAATCTTTTGGAATTGGACTTGAAAGTTGATTCTCATAGAGATACAGATGAGTTAAATTGGTCAAATTACCCAGTGAGTTTGGGATTGCACCAGTAAGATTATTTTGATACAACATAAGAAACTGGAGTGAGATCAAATATCCCATCGCCGGGGGAATGGGATCTTATAGGTGATTTTGGAAAAGATATAACTTCACTAGCTTGGTGAGGTTGCCAAAAGTGGATGGAATTGGACCTGTTAAATTGTTGTCCTCCAGAAAAAGTTTAATCAAATTATGCAGAGTTCCTATTCCTGATGGAATTGGACCTGAAAGTTGATTACTATAGAGATCTAAATGAGTCAAATTTCTCAAGTTGCAAATTTCAGGTGGGATTTCTTCTGACAACTCATTAACTGAGAAATCAAGATAAATGAGCTTGGACAGGTTACCTATTTCACGAGGTATGCTGCCAAAGATCTGATTCAGGCTAAGATTAAGATATTCAAGATTTGGGAGGGTTGAAAATGGGAAGTCATAAAGGCTACCTTTTATGCTGTACTCTGAGAGATTCAACTTGCTGACACTTCCATTAATGCATGAAATGCCAGCCCAAGTGCATGGAAGGTTGGAAGAATTCTTGCCGTTGATGGAATGGAGGTTCCACGAGGCTAGCAAGCTATTGTTCTGGTTTTGAAAACTGGCCTTCCATTTCAAAAGACCAGCCGCCTCACTAGCAGAATCTGAAGCGACACCTTTGGCTTTGGGATGAGATGATGGGAAAAGTAGGACCATAATGAATATAAAGATAAATTCAAAAGAACCCATGGGATACCTTTATGGTAGGAACCCATTGACCGTGTCTATGGTAGGAAGGCCTCTAGAGGCCGACACGTGTTGCTGGTGGATGGATTGCAAACGGAGACGTTAAGCCGTGGAATCGCGCGTGGAGATGCAACGTTAACATGTTGTCCACGGTTGCAAGGTAAAAGCACAGGTTCGAATATTGCCTATTATATGAATACAATAGTCAATTGTTTTGAAAGACTATTGTATTCATATAATTTCAATTGTCTGCCTAGATATTGCCAAATAATTAAAGATAACTTTTATTTAACATAGCAAATACATACTTACATATGAAGATGGTAATAAGAATACATAAAATAATTAATGATACCAAAAGTTACCCTTAGCGTTTGGGTTTTACATTCTTATTCAAATCTAATCAGGGTCAAATTTGGGTTAGATATATACAAATTAAGTAGTATTTTAGGGTCGAATGTTCTATATTTTTTTCTTAAACTATAATGTTACTTTTTTTTAAAATTTTTGGTAGAATTGGTGTTGTTATTATCATATTTATCAAAAAAAAATTTCCACGTTAAAAGGCCAGTAGTACTTTTTTTTTTTATTTAGTGATTTCATAATTTAGATTTCATGAATGGTACCATTCTTTATTTTTTAAATCCACGACATTATTTCCTTTTGTTTTCTGTATAATTTTGCTATTTTACTTAGGATTACTAAGTTAAAAGATAAAATATTATTATTTACTTTTTTACTTTTACTAAGTTTGGTAATGTTTTCTCTTTATTTACCTTCCCACTAATAAATTTCAAACCAAATTCCTATATAAGTGGAGCCACTTCTTACTTATTTAAATTAGAAAGGCATGGAAGGCACTTCTTACTTAGAAAAATGTTATTTGCACTCCATTTTTTATTATTTGTAAGTCCACCATTTGTTTTATCATATAGTCTAATTAATGAAAACTATATGATCAAAATGATTATTGAAGTGTGAATAACAAAAATATAGTGTAAATAATCTTACTTATTTAAATTAATAAGAAAGCATGAAAGGATGTCATATTTGTTATCTCTTGTTATGGTCTTATAGAAGTTTTAATTGGAGTAGAATCATAAATAACGCAAGGTAATCGAAAACGTGATAGGTTGAAGTACAAATAAGATAACATGCACATTAACCAACAATTTGAAATGAAATGATTTTAAAAAGTAACTAACAATTTCAAATGTGAAGAGTAGATGTGGAAGTTAAGAGAAATATATTTTATAAATTAAATTAAATGTGAAATGCTACAAAAATAGAATTGGTAGTGGGAAGACGTGTGAAGGCTTGTTGCTAAAAATTCTTTCTCAAATTTATATAGATATAGATAGATATAGATGTCTTTTTTTTAGTGGTTCAATCTCATATTCATGAACTATCTGCAGAAAAAAAAAATTCTGGACTATACTAATTTTGTTATACCAACTCTGTTATTCTTATTAGTGTATTAATTGTTACGCTATTTCTCTCATTTTGTTGGGTCTACATTAATACAAGTGTAATTGTTATTATGTCTCGTGTCCCAGAAAATACATAAATATCCTATTCAGGTGGATACGTGCAACAGATAATCAAATTGATGGTAAAAATTTAGAATGAATAAGTTGCTTTTGCATAACGGTTGTAAAGGTTTCTTGAGACTTTATGAATTAGGTGTCTTGCGTTTGCAAAAAGAATTTCAGAAGATTTTTTGTATTGGAAATGGAGTTAAAACTTGCTATAGGTTACTTTCCTGTATTTCAATCTTATCGTAAAGGGTAATTTGCTGTTGAACCTAATTTTTTTTCTAATTATATCCAGCTAATAAATTAACTTAAGAAAATAGATAATTTATGGAGGAAAGCTATAAGTAGCTGGTGCTTATTTTGAAAAATAGATTTATTTTTATTTTATCCAATAAATAAATTAGTTTATGAAAAATGGGTACTCTGTTCTTATAATGGAGGAAAGCCATAAAGAGCTAGTGTTTTATTCAAAAAGGATCTATTTTTATTTTATCCGATAAATAAAATTTTTGTATGCAAAAATGGGTACTCTATTCTTATAATGGAGGAAAGTCAGGAAGAGCTAGTATTTTATAGAAAAATGTGTTTATTTTTAGTTTAGCCGATAAATAAAATTTTTTATTTATAGAAAAATGGGTACGCTGTTCTTATAATGGAAAAAAGTCATAAAGAGCTAGTGTTTTATTGAAAAACGGGCTTATTTTTATTTGATCCGATAAATAAAATTTTTTATGAGAAAAACGGGCACTGTGTTCTTATAATGGAGGAAAGTCATAAAGAGCTAGTGTTTTATTAGAAAATGGGTTTATGCAGAATTTTATTTTATCCATAAATTTTTTTTATGGAAAAATGTGTACTCTATTCTTATAATGGCGGAAAGTCATAAAGAGCTAGTGTTGTATTCAAAAACAGGTTTATTTTTATTTTATCCGATAAATAAATTTTTGTATGGATGTCTAGATAAAATTTATTGATCGGATTAAATGAAAATTTATTTTAACACTCATTTTTCCAAAAACAAATTTTCTTTTCGAAAAAAAAGAAAATAAGCCCGTTTTCTAATAAAACAGTCGCTGTTTATGGCTTTCCTGCATTATAAGGAAAGAGTACCCATTTTCTCAAAAACAAATTTATTTATCGAAATAAAATAAACATAAAGGCGTTTTACAATTAACCACCCACTATTTATGGCTTGCCTCCATAAATTATCCACTTCACTATTTTTCATAAGTTAATTTACTAGTTGGATAAAATGGGAATAAAATTAGGTTGAACAGCAAATTACCCTTTAGGATAAAATTGAAACACAGGAAAGTAACCTATAGCAAGTTTTAACTCCATTTCCACTACAAAAAATCTTCTGCAATTGTTTTTGCAAACGCAAGAAGAATAATTCATAAACTCTCAAGAAACCTTTACAACCGTTATGCAAAAGCAACTTATTCATTCTAAAATTTTAGCATCAATTTGATTACCTATTGGACGTATCAACGTCAATAAGATAATATGTATTTTCTGATACACGAGACATAATAAGAATTAAACTTGCATTAATGTAGACCTAACAAAATGAGAAAAGTGGCATAACAAATAATACAATAATAAGAATAACATATTTGGTATAACAAATTTGGTATAGTCTAAAATTTTTTTTTTTTTTTTGCAGATAGTTCACGAATATAAGGTGCAACCACTAAAAAGAATGACATGCATATGTAATGTAAAAATGAATATAAAATGAATGTAGTTACATTGTGTCATCCGGTATTCGGGTCCATAGTGGAAACCGAACTTCAATAATGGAAAGCCAAAGTTGAAGCTTACTTCAGACGCTATGGGGAAGAAGTGGGGTCACCAAATATTTGGTACAAAGGAAAGACTTGCAATAACATAGTACGGAAGTCAGTCTGCTGTTTGCTTCCATCCGTACACGCTTCTACTTGATTCCCTATGCACGCGCTCTCCAACAATTTAACGTCTCCGTTTGGACCATTTTGCCCCCAACACGTGTCGCTCTCTGCCGGCATTCCTACCATAGGCAGGTTCCTACCATAAAGGTTTCCAGAACCCATGACTACTTTCGAGTTCAACTCAAGTTTGCGCAGGTTGATATATGTACCGCAAGGAAACCTTTATGGTAGGAACCTGCCTATGGTAGGAATGCCGGCAGAGAGCGACACGTGTTGGGGGCAAAACGGTCCAAACGGAGACGTTAAATTGTTGGAGAGCGCGCGCATAGGGAATCAAGTAGAAGCGTGTACGGATGGAAGCAAACAGCAGACTGACTTCCGTGCTATGTTATTGCAAGTCTTTCCTTTGTACCAAATATTTGGTGACCCCACTTCTTCCCCATAGCGTCTGAAGTAAGCTTCAACTTTGGCTTTCCATTATTGAAGTTCGGCTTCCACTATGGACCCGAATACCGGATGACACAATGTAACTACATTCATTTTATATTCATTTTTACATTACATATGCATGTCATTCTTTCTTTTTAGTGGTTGCACCTTATATTCGTGAACTATCTGTAGAAAAAAAATAAAATTTTAGACTATACTAAATTTGTTATACCAAATATGTTATTCTTATTATTGTATTATTTGTTACGCCACTTTTCTCATTTCGTTAGGTCTACATTAATGCAAGTTTAATTCTTATTATGTCTCGTGTATCAGAAAATACATATTATCTTATTGACGTTGATACGTCCAATAGGTAATCAAATTGATGCTAAAATTTTAGAATGAATAAGTTGCTTTTGCATAACGGTTGTAAAGGTTTCTTGAGACTTTATGAATTATTCTTCTTGCGTTTGCAAAAACAATTGCAGAAGATTTTTTGTAGTGGAAACGGAGTTAAAACTTGCTATAGGTTACTTTCCTGTATTTCAATTTTATCCTAAAGGGTAATTTGCTGTTCAACCTAATTTTATTCCAATTTTATCCAACTAGTAAATTAACTTATGAAAAATAGTGAAGTGGATAATTTATGGAGGCAAGCCGTAAATAGTGGGTGGTTAACTGTAAAACGCCTTTATGTTTATTTTATTTCGATAAATAAATTTGCTTTTGAGAAAATGGGTACTCTTTCCTTATAATGCAAGAAAGCCATAAACAGCGACTGTTTTATTAGAAAACGGGCTTATTTTCTTTTTTTTTAGAAAAGAAAATTTGTTTTTGGAAAAATGAGTGTTAAAATAAATTTTCTTTTAATCTGATCAATAAATTTTATCTAGACATCCATACAAAAATTTATTTATCAGATAAAATAAAAATAAACCTGTTTTTGAATACAACACTAGCTCTTTATGGCTTTCCGCCATTATAAGAATAGAGTACACATTTTTCCATAAAAAAATTTATGGATAAAATAAAATTCTGCATAAACCCATTTTCCAATAAAACACTAGCTCTTTATGACTTTCCTCCATTATAA